TTCTCTAAAAATTTCCATTTTAGGAATGAAAAAGTTAAAAAATTAATTCCGGCCAAAATTATGTAATGCGGGCCCAATCCGTGACAAATTTGGTGCGGCAGCTAGGTTCAATGTACAATACATATGATCCAACCAATCATATGAGCATATGATCACGTTCTTACAAATTACATGAAAACTTACGCAAAATTACGTAAAATTACGGACCCTAATTACAGTAATTCCGATAACAATTCAAAAACTTTTCGAATTCGGCCGAATGATCATCGGTCAATTTTTATCGTTGTTCCAGAATTTATGAGAACAGCTGTAATCTATAATTCTGTAATTTATTTTACAATTCCTAGTAATAATCGATTTTGTACTATGATAATTATGCTTTTCACGAAATTTTTTTACGCGATTTAGTCAGGTTACATTAAAAATACCAATATATTTATTTAGACGCGATTGTTGAACACATCACGTTATTATGTGAGCGTGATCGATCGTTGTTTGCACATGTTTTTTTGTTGCACTAAATGATAAATATATAGACGCGATTGTTGATTGTTTTGAAAGCATCATCATGTGATTAACCAATTAAATGTTTATATAAACCAAATTTTTTTGTTCTTTTTAGCATTAGCTTTTTTGAATTATTCTGCTTAAGGACTACTATGTCTAAAGAAGGACGGTTATGTATCTTCCTTAAGCAGTCAAAAAAGCCAAGCGGCGAGCGTCGTGCGTTGGAACACCTAACTAGAGTCGGAACACCCATCTAAAGTTGAAACACCCATCTAGAGTCGGAACACCCTTATAGAGTTGAAACACCTACCTAGAGTCGGAACACCCCATTATTTTTTTTTTTTATTTTTTGTTAAAAAGGACGTAACTTAGAAAAGGTTGGTTACGACACTTATGTGCGAGGTAGGGGCACATAAGAATATTAATATAAGATAATTTTCTTTTATTTAGTATTAAAACGACCAACCAATTTATTTGAAGCCGATAAACGGACCTATATTAAACACTTAAATCGATAAAAGCAAGAAAAGAAAACATAAAAAGCAAGACAAAGAAAGTAATATTGGAATGCATTATTTTATCGTTGGAGTCGTCGTTATTATTGAGCTATTGGATTCGTTACTAAGCTCAGAAATTAGAGAAAGTGAAGAGTTGGAGCAATTTGATGACATGGATACAGATTCTTTTTTTCGTTTCTTCGAAGTTTCGAATACTTCCGAATGTATTTAATAGAGTTGAGTAAGTTTATCATTTTAGATGTTACATTGTATTTTTTTTTATGGTTTTCTGTATTTACTAGTGATTCTTTACTTCCAGGTGTGATTTCGTCGTTGAAGTTGTCGCTATTGAAGTTTTAAGTTTTTGTTGTTTTTTTTTTCTCTGTTTATTCAAGTGCTATTTCGTCGTTGGAGTTATCGATATTAAATCTATTACGTTGTTTCGTTAAGACTATGATGTTTGTTTTTTGTTGGAATTCATTATTTCGTGCGCTTGTATTTTCTTTTGAACGATAATGCGATTTTATTGTTTGTTATAGTTGCGATTATTTATTTATTTATTTATATTTCGTCATTTGTTACGCTTCTATTATTATTATTTTTTTTAATAAAATCTTAAAATTTTTTTAATAAGAAAATTTTTGATCTTGAATTGTATGTAGAACTGATAAAACGGTGCATTTTTAAGTTTTAAGAATTTAATAAATCGTAAAGAAAACAAATTATTTTTCTACTATAAATTTTATTTTAAGGCCGTTCAAAGTTGAATAGTAGCATCTCCACTCTCGGTTAGTTATTAGCTACTTTTTTAAAATTATTCCTGATAACGTTTAAAAAAATTATGCACTATCGAATTAGTAGATATGACGTAAAATTTGGTAACCCTATGATGGCTAAGTCGGTTGTAAGAAATTCAATGTTCTCAATGTTTTTTAAGAACATAAAAATTTTAGATTACACTTATGTGAAAAAACATAGATTTCAAAATATATATTATGTAGATATTCTTGTGAGAATATAAAATTAAATTTGAATTTCACACACTGGTTGTAATTTTAGACATGTAATATACGAAATAAATTATATGGAAATTAACTTTATTGTAAGTAAAGTTTTTAACATAAAATATCTTAATATTAACTCAAATAGCTCAAGGATCAATTTATTAGTAAATTTCTAGATCGATCAACACTTTAGCATCCTCATGAAAAATCGATGCAGGGTTCTTATCAAGGGCGGTACATAAATCTCATCAGAAACAGTACCGACTATCTATCAGAAACGGTATTTACGTCAATTGCTAATATTTAAAAACCCCCACCGCTTTTTTTTATTAAAGTCAGTTAACATTTCTTATTAAGAGTTAGCTACTATATTTTCAACGAGTAGCATAGTTATGGCGCAAAAATTTGTCGGTGATGTAATATCCGAGCTGATCGGACTAAAATTTAAGCTCAGAAAAATACCCAAGACGGGTTGATATAACTGATCGAGTTATATCAACCAGTCTTAGGTATTTTTCCGAGCCTAAACTTTGGTCCGATCAGCTCGGATATTACATCACCGACAAATTTTTGCGCCATGACTATGCTACCCTTTTCAACTAAGACTATCACGTAAAACAACCCATTTAGTATCGCCACTAGCGTTGTAAACTTAAATTAATTTGGATATAAAAGTTAAAAAATCAAAATTAATTATTTTTGTATATTTAATAATTTTTTGTATTGATTTAAAGGCCGATAGTATCGTGTAACATATGTACAAGTTATTGTCCGAAGCGTAGCGAGGAAGACAAAAACCGAATATACGTTCATGTAATGTCTGGTGGAAAAAACTGATAAAAATTCAGAATTTCGGGTCCCGTAGTCTGTGTACCAAATTATATTGTTAACATTAGACTACTCACGTACATAACTGCATGACAAATAACAAACTAAAGGAGACAAAATAGAAATATGAAATGAATTATAATACTACTGTATCATTCAGTATTATCTGACAATACATATTGTATTTTTATTTATCTATAGCCGTTAAATATGTAAACATTTGTTAGCACTTATTTGTAAACAAATGTTTTTCGAACCTTTATCAGATACGTACATACGTAGTCCCATCACTGTACGTACGTACAATAAAAGGCATTACATCAAACAGTATATATATATCAATAACAAAATTATGATTAAAATCTGAGCAATAGATGAAAGTTTTTCTTTATTCAAATTATTCGTTAAAAAACATATTCAAATTTTGAATCGAATCACGTTCAAATTCGAATACTTAAAGTGAATTTTATTTTTGTTTATTTATTTATTCAATTTGATTTTAAGATTTGGATCTGAGCCAAGCTAGAATTAACATAGATTTGGAACTTATTATATATATAAAAACCTAGTTTTAAGATTTTTTAATTTGAAACCTAAAGGCTTTGGGTCCTAAATCAAACCTAAACTAACTTTACCATCCCTAGGAAAGAGATTCGCTGCCTATAGTTATAAGCTTCTTTGCCTTTTTCTCTTCAATATTTCGAATCATTTTTGATTTCTCTACTTTTCTTATGTAATCTTTGATTTCTCTTCGGGATTTGGAAATCTCGGCTTGAAGACGATGTGTTCTTTCTCTATTTTCGTAGACTGTATTGTGACAAATTTATATTTAATACCGAAAATTTTTCTCTCAATATAGAATATTATTAATTTAATATAGTACCTATTTGTTCTGTTAAATTATTCCATTTGAATTTGGGCAAATATTTGATGTTCCATAAATCATCATGGTAGAAATTACGCTTATTTCCTCCTATTTTAATCACATATTAGTACGCTCATGTAAATGTGTTGATATGGTGCAATAACAAAATATTTCATTACCAATTGGTTGAGCGTTCAAGGCAGTTGCAACGGTTTTTGCAACTTTTTTATCCATGAATTCAACCCATCCTTCAGTGTAGTTTTGTTTCTTATGTCCTTTATATTTTATTCGCCGAGCTCTTATTTTGGGATCTAATAAATCAAAAACGTTGTAAGATGATATTTCTCAAATTTTATAATCCTTCAAGTAGTTCTGATAATGTACCTTCAGGTGCAAGATAAACTCTTCCTACTTCACCATATTTGCTCAATAGATGCTTAATCTTTGCCGGCTTCATAAAAGGTGGAATTCGTGATAAGTATACCAATCCAGTTTTATTTTGTTCCTTTTCAAACTCGGTCAATTTCTGGAGAGTCAAGGGCTTCACGATTTCGTCTTTTGCCATATCTTGAGGTTACTATTATTGTATATTCAAATTTTTATGTACTATATGACAAAGAAACCTTAAAGTATAAATCACGAACCTTCATCCTTATGTTCGTCTTCATTATCCATATGTTCGTCTTCATTATCCATATGTTCGTCTTCCTTATCCTTATGTTTGTCTTCATTATCTATATATTCGTCTTCCTTATCCTTATGTTCGTCTTCATTATCCATATATTCGTCCTCCTTATCCATATGTTCATCCTCAATATCTAATTTTTGCTCTAGATCGACTTGCTGCTCTTCCTCTTCAAGAATTTTAGTATGGCTCCTTAACCTCATTTTTTTTTTTAGATTAAAATTTCAAACGTGATACCTTTTATATCAATCTGATCTAATAAGATAATCGGGCAAATAAAACATCGATTAATACAAATAAAAGATGTATCCAGGCTCTTTCCTTCAAATCTAAAGAAAAAAAAAATGCCAACGGTGCTTTCTAAATTATCAGACTTATTAAAGTTTTCCCCAGATTCTAGATCCAGTATTGAAAAAATAAAAAAATTACTTGAACGAATATGGACAGTATATAGTAAAAATCGGACAATACTAGGATGGTCAATCTGGATTTTTGCTGTTTATTTTCTTTATGTCAGGAATCGTAGTTCTCCGAAAGGCAAACGTGTTGCCAAGGCCAAGGAACAAGAAAGTACCGCTGAAACAGCAAAGGAAGTTGAAAAACCAAAGAGCACTAGGGTAGAGGTAAAGTATCTTGAATGCTATTATTATCATTTTATATGAAAATCGATCCAATATTTTTTATAATCTTAATACAGGTTGATAGTGTTTTTTTTGAACGATTGAAAAAATTGCTTAAGATTGTGATTCCGGGTGTAAGATCAAAAGAATTATGGCTTTTGATTATTCATTCATTCTTCTTAGGTGATTATTTATTTTATTTTATTTTATTTTGTTTGATTTTATTAAATTTACTGACATATTATTGTCAAATGTAAATCTAGTGTTCCGGACTGTATTGTCAGTATATGTTGCTGCCTTGGATGGCCGAATTGTTAGTGCTTTGGTAAGTCAATGAATTAAGGCTTATCTCGTTTTTACATAACTAACCGTAATTAATTCCCTATAGGTGAGAGGGAATGCAAAGGATTTCTTAACAGGAATCGTGTGGTGGATGACAGTCGCCATTCCTGCCACTTATACTAATAGCATGGTAAAAATTTCTTTAATAATATGACAATTATTGCATCCAGTTTGATGATTTAACATGTTTTATATTCAGCTTACGTACATGCAAAGTAAATTAGCCATACAATTCCGTACTCGCCTTACCAATTACATACATCAAAAATACCTGTCAGATATGACTTTCTACGCAATCGGAAATTTAGATGATCGTATTAAGAATGCAGATCAGTGCGTATATATATATAATTATCATTAAACTGTATTAATAATTTTACCTAATGAATAATCAACTTCCAAAAAAGGTGCATCACAGTGGATACGATGAAATTTTGTAATTCACTTTCTGAGTTTTATTCTAATCTGGTCAAACCGATCTTAGATGTATTCATCTATAATCTACAATTGGTAAAAAATGTTGGTGGCGAGGGTTTGTTTGGTGTCTCATTGATCGTACATTTATCATCGGTCGTTTTGAGAGCCTTGACTCCTCCATTTGGAAAAATGGTAGCAGAGGAACAAAAGTTAGAGGTATGTTACTTAATACATCTTTATTTTTTGTTAAATTTATAGCGATTTAATACATTATATTATTGTTATTCAGGGTGAATTCCGGTTTACACACTCGCGTCTCATCGAGAATGCTGAAGAAATTGCCCTCTATTCTGGCCATGAAGTTGAAAAGTCCATCCTAGATCGTAATTATTTTGCTTTAATCAAGCATATTAACAGAATTTTCCGTAAACGTATTTACCACGGAATGCTGGAAGATTTCATAATTAAGTATTTCTGGGGTGCTATGGGATTGGTTCTTTGTTCGGTACCCGTTTTCTTTACTATATCGGATAACAAAAAGGACAGTCTTGGTTCGCGTGCAGAAGGTAATAATCACATTAATGCTTGGCATATACAGTAAGATATACATAGAGTAGAACTCACTAATTTATGCTACTTTGTTAATTTAAGGATTTATAACCAACCGTAGATTGTTGATGAGTTCATCCGATGCAGTTGGTCGTATTATGTATTCATACAAAGAAATTGCAGAATTAGCTGGATACACCGCTAGAGTAAAATATATAAATTACTTGTTTCAATTTTATTCCCTTTGGGGTGAGTGGTCTAATTTCTATATTATTATTATTTTTTTTTTTGTTAGGTTTCAGAACTCTTGGATGTTTTTGAAGAAGTTAAAGCTGGCCGGTTTAAAAAACAACTCGTTTCATCAGTTTCGATTGAAGAGAACGCTAAAGTATTATCTGGTCGTGGAAATGTCATCGTAGATGAAAACATTGAATTCATCGATGTTCCAATCGTTTCTCCAAATGGCGACGTTTTGCTAAAAAAATTGAGTTTCCATGTAAAACCTGGAATGCACTTGTTAATTGTTGGTCCAAATGGATGTGGTAAAAGCAGTTTATTTAGAATTTTAGGTGGATTATGGCCTGTATACGGTATGTATAATATTATTCAGTAGAGATATTTATGAATGGTTAATAAATTTGCGTCCTTATATTGTTGTAGGTGGTACAGTTCACAGGCCAAATCCAAAAGATATTTTTTATATCCCACAACGGCCTTATTTATCACATGGTACTTTAAGAGATCAGTAAGTATTTATTGGAATATGTAACATTCTTATCGGTTATTTACTTATTTATTTATTTTTATTTATTTTATTTTAAATTACTTTATTTTAAATTACTTTATTTTTTAGAATAATTTATCCTCACACTACTCGTGAAATGAAAGAGCGTGAGTATGAATTTCTTATTATAACTTTTTTTTTTTTTTTTTTTTTATAATTAAAATCTTATTTGTACAATTATTACAGGTAACGTTACAGACCAAGATTTGCAAGAAATTCTAAACGTAGTTCAATTAAATAGTATTGTTGATCGCGAAGGTGGTTGGGATAAAGAACGTGAGTGGAAAGACGTTCTTGCAGGTGGTGATAAGCAAAAAGTATGTTGAATGTCAAATTTAATTGCGCTTTTTTTATTTGGTTAACTTAATAGAAATATTTTCATCATATTAGATTGCAATGGCGCGATTATTTTACCATCGTCCAAAATATGCAATTCTGGATGAATGTAGGTCATTAACAAAATTCAATCATTATTTATGTGGATTTTCTAATTGATTATCTTGTAAAATTTGAAAGGTACAAGCTCTGTTGGTTTGGAAATCGAGAAAATTATGTACACACACGCTACTAGTAAATACATTCAAATTTATCTACTTTTTTTTAATTATATTCAAACGACTATTTACAATCATTCCTTAATCTTTTTAAATAGATTTGGGTATTTCTTTATTAACTGTTTCTCATCGTCCATCGCTTTGGAAATATCATAACTATATTCTACAGGTAGACGACTTACAAAATTAGTCCATCCTTTATTCACTCAATTTATAAAAAAAATTTTTTTTTATTTACTGGTTATTATCCATTTTATAGTACGATGGACAAGGTGGTTATGTGTTCACTCAACTTGACGCCAAACGTAGGCTGGAATTACAAGAAGAAAAACAAAGCCTTGAACAGAAATTAATTGAGGTGCCAAAATTACAAACGAGATTAGAACAATTGAAAGCTATTTTGGAAGAACGAGATAAATTAGTAAATAACCAAGGTGGAAGTTCAACACCTTATAATCAAGATAGTGTCTCATCTTTTGGTTTAAAATAATTTAGTATATTAGAATAAATTTTTGTGTTGTAAAATATTAATTTATTTATAATTAGAGAAATGGGGTATTATTTTGAAAATTCGTAATAATAATTCAAGGTTAGCAATATATATATTTTTGTTTCAAATGTGTTGAAAAAAAAAAATCAGACTTTGAGTAATTATTAAACTTTGCGTGACATGAATGACTGATTAGTATGCATGTTGTAAGTGGAAACAGAACATAGATGAAATAAAACTTCAATTAACCTTGTTACTATAAAAAAATTGCCAAGCTTGAATCAATTTAGAGGATGGGATCTTAACGTTAAAGTTGTGAACGCGCATAAATATTATAGAATTAGCATTATCACGTGAAAGAAATCACAGGAAACTAGAAATAGGTGTATTGAATTTAGATTTGATCACCTTGATGAATAAGGATATTCTCGCTTCAAATCCAAGTATTAGTCGGTAAGTTTTTGATTTAAAATAAAAATCATAACTTTGTTTCCAAAATTTCATAAATAAAAATTATACAGTAATTTTTTTTTTGATTAAGTAGAACAGCAGCCGGAAATACTGTATACGAGATGATATAGAGGAAGCATTAAATGAAAGTAATGTAATTCTATTAGCACAGAAGAACAAGGTGAGCCATTATTAACCAATAAATATTTCGTAAAAAAAAAAAAAACTTATTGTAATGGAATATACGATATTATGTATAGTATAAATTCGAAAAGACGTATAGTATACGTAGTCTATAAATTAAAATCTACAGTACGTATACTTATAGGTTTATAAATTATGCATATATAATAAACTTGTTAAAAAAGTAAAATCGTATAATAATACGTAATCATTCACTTCAACAGTTAATTTAAAAGGACATAAAAAAAAAACTCTTTCCCGTAGATCTCAATTTTAATAGAAAATAAAAATTGATACAACAAAATTCTAAAAGCAAGAGGAC